CAAAAGAATGTCAAACAGATACTTAACAATGGATGGATGGCTACATATATAATGGGGGAATAATCTCTTTGGTAGTTCTTGCCCAAAACTGCTTGCAAATTTTTTTAAATTAATTTATTTTTAGTTTTCAACATTCTCTTCCATAAGCTTTTGAGTTTTAAATTTCCTCCCCCTCCTTTCCTACCTCTCTCCCCAAGACAGTGTGCAATCTGACATAGGCTCTACATACACATTCCTATTAAACATTTTCACATTAGTCATGTTGTAAAAAAGAATTAGAACCAATAGGAGGAACCGCAAAAAAGAAGAAACAAAACGAAGCAGAATTAAATGAAAAAAAAAGAGCAAATAGTATATTTCGATCTGGTTTGCAAATATTTTTAACACTGAGTTTAGGACAGCTTTACACACATACAGGAATACTGTTTCACTCAGTCAACAGGCAGCTACAAACAGATAGCTTGGCCTGTCAAAGGCTTGTTGGTTTATGGGTCTAGTGGACCTGTCATTTTTCATATAAAGAAACTGAGGCTTACAGAGGTTAAATGACTTTCCTTAACCTGTCTCTGGGAATCACATCCTGGGCTAAATGATTGGAGGTGTGGCAGGAAGCCCCATGCCCCTCCTAAGGGGACTCAGCTTTTGTTTGTGTTTGCTGATAGCACTTCCCTTTCCTTTTCCTGTACAGTGGGCCCTTGAAGAACAGGGTATTTACAATATGATACTGGCAGAATCCAAATTCAAGGGACAATTATCTCACTCCTCTTGTTTCTACAGAAAATATCACTAAGCCAGTTTTTGCCAGGACAGAAAAGATTCCCTGGCTATGTCCGGCACCTCTAGAAGTGACAGCATGGGTTCTTCTTACAGAGTGAGCTAGATATCTATGATCTTCACTTTACACAGTAGACATGTTTCTAAAAAGTCCCTCATAAATCAAACTTTTATAAATCAAATCTCATTTACCTTCACTGGGGATGTTGCTGTTTACAGGCATTCTAAGGTGAATCAACTGCTAATGTGAATAATAACAGCTATGCTGATGCTGCCAAAAAGATACTTAAGGCAGTCATTATTCATGATACCAATGGATTCACTGTGGAACAATTATAAATAACAACTTCTTCAGTAAATGGGATAAATGGGGTAGGAAGTCCTAAATTAAAATGCAGCCTCAGACATTTATTAGTTGTGTGACCCTGCACAAGCCATTTAAACCTCTGTTTGTCTCAGTTTCCTCATCTGTAAAACAAACTGGAGAAGGAAATGGCAAACCACTCCAGTATCTCTGCCAAGAAAACCCCAAATGAAGTCATGAGGAGTCAGGTTGGACTGAAGAACTACAATGTAGCAGGAAAGTTTCAAGAGAAAGGCAACCAGGCTGGTGAAAGGCTTTGAGCCCAAGTCAAATGAGGTTATGTTGAAGAAAGGAGATATTTAGCCTGGGGAAGAGAAAGCTACCGGTCTTCAAGTATTTTAAAGGCTGTCACCTGGAAGAGTGATTGGACTTGTTCTGTTTGGCCCAGACGGCAGAGCTGGGAGTGATAGGAGGAAGGTAGAGACACATTTCAGGTCAGAAAACCTTTAGCAAATAGTGCTGACCACGAGTGGAAGGGGGCTGCTTCAGAAGGTGGTAGGTTCACCTTCTATGGAGGTGCCTTCAATCAACCAATTAATCAGTCAACAAACATTTATGAAGTGCCTACTGTGTGCCAAGCACCATGTTAAGTCACTTCCCTCAAGCAAAAGCTGGACCGTTAATTGTTGGATGTTTTGTGGTAGGCCATCTTTTCCATGGGCCTCCCGGCTCTGAAATTCACTGAACCTATGGCAAATGGGTGCATCTGATTTCCCACTTCTCCAAATATATGAATCTCCCATGCTGCTTTCTCCATCACTTACTTTCAGAATTATTTTTAGCCAGAGTACCCAAAGTGATGGAATCATGGTTTTTGTTTGTTTGTTTGTTTTAATGTTACATGCTGAAGAAAGTAAACAGTAGCTTTAGAAACTATTTGACAGATTTGAAATTGGGAGATGAAATTATCCAAATGCTCCCTCCTCGAGTTTGAAAGACCCAGTACTTCTCCAATTAGTCTCAACTGGGCTTAAAGGGGAGAAGAGCTAAACTTCCACGCTTTTTGAAATGTCGGTCAAAATGGAGCTCATTATAGTAAAGCATCCAGGTAGACAGCAGTGACATGTTTGAGATGAATTACTGCTATGCTGCGAAGAGCAGACAGGTGGGCTTCCTTCAGCCCACGGGACAGATTTTCATTTTCACTTGCTTGGGAGGGGGGGTCCTCTAGGCTCTTATTTATTCTTTCTCTTGGTGGGGATGTGTTCTCCTAAGGCTGGGGCTGCTTGTTTACTTTAGCTGGGGGTAGCTCCAAATACCTATTATTCCTCTTATCTCCTCCGAAGTATCATTTCCATCTGTTTAGGAACCATTCTAAATTTTCCTTCTTATCTTAGTAGCCATCTCCAGGAACTGCTTTTTGCAAATGTTATCCTAAAAGGACTTGGCCCTCCTAGGAAAATAACCGGCCAGCTGCAAAATGATTTAACTGAGATTGTCCCACTCACTTCCCAACCTATTCGAGTCTGGGCTCGGGGTGGGGGGCAGAGGAGGGGGCATGGGGTTTGTTTGGTGAGATTTCAATTTTTTTCAGCTTAATTCTGGTCCAGACTTTACTTGAAGGAAACATATTTGTTTTGCCCTTTGCCCTTAGGAAAAGTTACCTAAAAGGTAACTATCCAGGGAGAAGATTACAAAAGCCATTTTTTTTCAGTAAGTGCAAATATTTGCTCTGGATGGGTGGGTGGGGGGTGTACTGGGCATTTTGAAGGAGAACCAGGAAATCTCCCTCTAGTACTGACTTTAACTTTTGTTTTGGCTGATTCTGGAGAAACACATGGAATTTTGACCTAATGGCAGAATAATATAAGGAATAGAAATTCCATTACTTGGGGACACCGGAGGCCAGGGAGATGTTTCTAGAGTGTGATCGAGTATGTTTTCTGACATGACATGACAGTCTTGGAGTCATAGATTTAAAGCAGAAAGGGACCTGAGAAGCCAACTAGGCCAACCCCTGCATTTTAGTAAGCATCAGAGGTAAGATTTGAACCCAGGTTCCCTGAGTCCAGAACCATTATTGAATTCAGTAGAGATCAGGAAGCCCAGGAATAACACTTGTACATGCAAACAGAAAAGAAGGAATAACAAAAAAGATATTTGTGATTAATTTTTATTTTTGTAAAGTTTTTAGTGATGACTTTTACTCTTTAAGAGGCAGCAGTAGATAGAGCCTTGGCCTAGAGTCAGGAAGACCTGAGTTTAAATCTGTATTCAGACACTTACTAGCTGTGTGACCCTGGGCAAGTCACTGTTTGCCTCAGTTTCCTCATCTGTAAAAATGAGCTGAAGAAGGAAATGGTGAGCCACTCTAGTACCTTTACCAATAAAACTCCAAAAGGGGTCATGAAGAGCAGGACATGACTGAAAACAACTGAACTTTATTCTTTATACCACAATCATTTCCTGATATACCTTTTCCTCTCAACAAGATTGCCTAGTGATGCAGTGGGTAGAATGCTTGACTGGGAGTCAGGAAGACCTAAGTACAAATCCTGCCTCAGATACTTAGTAACTTTTTGATGCTGGGTAAGAATCAAAGATCCTCGGGCAAGATTAATTAACCTCTCTCTGCCTCAGTTTTCTTATCTACAAAATAGGGATAATAATAGCCCTCACCTCGTGGGGTCATTGTGAGAACAAATGGGAATACACATGTAAAGTGCTTTGTAAACTTTAAAGTGCTATGTAAATGCTAGTCATAACAAAGAAAAACTGTAAGCAAAAACTGGAACACACTGCAAATACATCTGGCAGCATATGGAACATCCTGCATCTTTCTACTGAAGAGGATCAAGTTTCATCAAATGTCATCCTAGACCAAGTTCTGATCATTGTATTTTTAGGATCATAGATTTAGACCTGGAATGGACCCATAGAAACCTTCTAGTTCAATCTGTTTTTTTTTTTACAGATGAGGAAACTGAGGCCCAGAGAAGTTATGTGATTTGCCTAATATTACACAGATATAAAAAAATTCAGTCAGGATTTGAACTAAGGTCCTTTCCATTGTACCATGCTTCATTTGAATTCAGCCAATTTTATGGGTGATTTTCAGGTTTATTATTGTAGTTGTATCAATTGTTCTCCTGGCTCCATTTTCTTCACTACTCATTTGTTTAAGTAGGTCTTCCCACATTCTTGGAGCCTGAAAGAACTGGGTTCAAGCCTTGTTTGATGGTAGCCTGGATGTGTGAACCTGGTCAAGTCACTTTACTTCTCAGTGCTTTAGATGACTCCCTAAGATTGTAAATTGAAGAGAAAGTGCTGACCTGTTGGTAGAAGGAACTTCCTGTTCTGTGACTTTCTGTAGCCCCAATGAAACCACAGGTCTATTCCCTCTTCCATCATTTGTTATATCAGTTAGTCAGTCAATAAATATTCAATAAGTGCCTACTATAAGGCAGGCAAGATGTTAAGTACTGGCTATACAAAAAGAGGCAAAACATAGTTCCTTCCCTCAAGGAGCTCACAATCTAATGGGGGAGATACCACATGAACAAGTATGTCCTAACAAGTTACATATAGTGCAGGATAAATGGAAATAATTAACAGAGAGAAGTTACTAGAATTAAGAGGTGTTGGGAAAGGCTTTCCTGTAGAAGGTAGGACTTTAGTCGGGATGTGAAGGAAGCCAGTAAGTAAAGACGAGGAGAGGGAACATTTCAAGCATGGGAGAAAGCCATCAAAAATGCTTGGAGCTGAGAGATGAGAATGTCTTGTTCGTGGAAGAGCAAGGAGGCTTATACACTAGAGTGAAGAGTATGGGATAGAGAGTAAGATATAAGACTAGAAATGTAGGAGGGAGTTGGGTCATGAAGGACTTTGACCACCAAATAGAGGATTGAATTTGATCTTTTAGGTAATAGGGAGCCACTGGAGTTTTTTGAGTGGGAAGTGGGCGTGACGTGGATGGATCTGAACTTCAGAAAAATAAATTTGGTGGCTGAATGAAGAATGCTCAGTCCCAGAGTGAGAAGTCCCAAAATGAGTGGGTAAGTTTCCCCAGAGACTTGTCTAAGAGCAACTTTTCATCCATTTAGTTTTACTCCTGTGGATTGTTAGACTGATATCTTTTGAGTACTACTGGACCTCATTTAGGAGGTTCTATAATGTTCCATAACTCCTTAATGTTTGAATGCTGTGGATAAGTTCACTTACCTTGGCAGTGTACTTTTCAGGGATGTACACATAGATGATGAGGTTGATGCACATATTGCCAGGGCTAGCTCAGTGTTGGAGAGGCTCTGAAGGAAAGTGTGGAAGAGAAGAGATATTAGATAGCCTGCCAAACTGAAGATCTTTGGAGCTGTTGTGCTGACCTCACTGTTGTATGCCTGTGAAACCTGGACAGTATACCAGTGCCATGCCAGGAAAAAGAATCACTTCCATTTGAATTGTCTTCTGAAGATCCTGAAGACCACCTGGTAAGATAAGGTACTGGACGCTGAGCTCCTTTCTTTCTTTCTTTCTTTCTTTCTTTCTTTCTTTCTTTCTTTCTTTCTTTCTTTCACTCTTTCTCTCTTTCTCTCTTTCTCTCTTTCTCTCTTTCTTTCTCTCTCTCTCTCTCTCTCTTTCTCTCTTTCTCTCTTTCTCTCTTTCTCTCTTTCTCTCTTTCTCTCTTTCTCTCTTTCTCTCTTTCTCTCTTTCTCTCTTTCTCTCTTTCTCTTTCTTCTTTCTTTCCTGCCTTCTTTCTTTCTTTCCTGCCTTCTTTCTTTCTTTCGTGAGGCAACTGGGGTTAAGTGACTTGCCCAGAGTCACACAGCTAGCGAGTATCATGTATCTGAGGCAGGTTTTGAACTCAAGTCGTCAGGACTCCAGGGCCGGTGCTCTGTCCACTGTGCCACCTAACTGCCCCTCCTGAGGTCCTTTCTGGAGCTGAAATGCTAAGCATTTAAACTCTACTGCAGAAAGCACAGCCATGATAGGGTGCCATGTTGTTCCAATGTCAAATGTGCACTTACCTAAAAAACTAGTTTATGGCGAACTCGAATGAGGCAACTGCTCACACTGAGGTCAGAAGAAGCAATGCAAGGACATTCTCAAGGTCTCTCTAGAGAACTTTGAAATCAATTGTGAGACACAGGAGGCACTGGCATAGGACTGTCCAGCATAATGTGCCTACATCAAAGAAGGCACTGTGCTATATCAGTGAAGCAGAATTACAGCAGTTCAAAAGAAGGATGAGGTGCACAAATTTAGAGATATCCAGATATTCATATGGATTATTTGTGCAAGACCTGAGATAGAGCCTTTCAAACTCATATTGGTCTGATTATCTATAGTTGGACACTTTGTACCTTGACCCCAACATAGTGATGTCATTTTGGTCCTCTCTGAGAACAAAAGATAACAACTAAGCAACCAGTAATGTTCCATGGATTTTTGGTACTATAATATCTACACACAAGAGCATCTGGACAAACTAATTGTGTATAGAGAATCCCTCTTCCTCACAAACCCTGTATAAGACATTCTCTATGACAGGGGCAACCGCCTGGGATGAACATATATTTCCCTGTTTTATGTGTCTCTTGATATCAATAATCAGAAGACCACTGACAGAGCTATAATTATAAAGCAGTTGAGATTTTTGTCCCAGGGCACCAAAATTTAGAGGAACCAAAAAATTTAACACATACATTGTTCAGCAGCTAGAAATATGAAAGTTACTAACTGAAAGCTTAGTCCCTGGTTAGAATCATTAATTAAAATATCTGGTCCCAGGCATCATCAATACTCATGTGTATGTAACTAGTTCTCCCTTCTGCTTAACTAAAGTTGTCTTAATTACCTCTTGCAGTTTTTCCCCCCATCATGAATTGTAGAGTTGATTTGAAAGTATGTTTCATGACTCTTATCCCAGGGGGCAAAATTTCTAGTTACAGATTTATTTTTATTTATTAAGGAAACATGCATGATCTTCATACCTGCCATCCTTGTTAGAGGAGAGAGAATCTTTGAGGCTACATTTTGCTGTACAGTCATTTTTGTTGTCTTTTTGGTAATAAACGAACAGTACACATAGTGGCATTTCATATTCTCTGCACCTTTCAATCAAGTGTGTGGCTGTGAAAATGTACCTGGCAAAAGAAATACTTATTTTACTAGACCTATACCCAAAAAGATGAATGAAAAGGAAAAGGATCCATGTTTACAAGTATATTTATAGTAGTTCTTTTTGTAGTGACAAAGACCTGAAAACTAAAGGGTCGTTTCAATTGGGAAATCACTGAATCAATTACGGAATATGAAAGGAATAGAATATTATTATGCCAATGTTCAGAGAAACTTGGGAAGATTTGTAAATGCTGATGCAGAGTGAAAGGAGCAGAACTAGACCACTTTATACAATAGCATTTTAAAGGCAAAGGGCAGCTAGGTGACTCAGTGATAGAGTGCCAGGCCTGGAGTCAGAAAGACCTGAATTCAAATCTAGCCTCAGAAACTTACTAGTTGTGTAACCCTGGACAAGTCACCAGTCTGCCTACGTTTTCTTATCTTTAAAATGAGCTGATGAAGGAAATACAAACCACTTCTGTATCTTCGCCAAGAAAACTCCAAAAATGGGTCACAAAGAATTAGACACAGTTAAAGTGACAACAACAAAATTTAAAGGCAAACACTTTGAAACATATAAGAACTGTGATCAATTCAATGACCATCCATGACTCCAAAGGTCTGATGTTGAAGCATACTTACCCATTTCGTGATAAAGAAATGATAGACTCCATATGCAGAATGAGACCTACATTTTTGGATATGGTGAAAAGTTATTTACTATGTAGATAGAAATGGTATTGGTGGCTTGTGAACCTTATTTGGAATTTTTCCTTGTGTAATTAGGAAAAGAGATATCTCCTTCCCTATATGGTAGATCCAATGATTATTCCAAGAGTATTTCCACCTAAAGCCAAATATTTAGTTGAAAAATGAGAAGCTCAGTGAACCAGTTAGTTGATTTGATCCCAAACATTTAGATATTTGGAAGCATCTGAATAATAAAGTTTTTTTTTTAATTTTCAAGCTCTAGCTGGGCATCACACACACATATGATTTTTGAGTTAAAAAGAAAAAACTAGAGAACTTCTGCATGACACATCATGCCTACTTCATCTAGATACTGTTCGTAGCTTTGAGTTGAGTTCCTTTCCAGTAGATTCCTTATCTCCCTTTGTATTCTGGGTACCTATCCTTTTGGATCCGTTGGGTAGAGGTGCCTATTGGGACTGAGGGTTGTTTTCTCCCTTATGTTTAATCTGCTAGCCCCTAGTTGAGTCTGATCCAATGAAATACTTGCTGGCCTCCACAGAAGAAAATATAAATCCTTCCTCATTAGGAATACACTTCTCCTAGGTGCCACCGAATGCTTCTTTTTTATTCCAACAAGAAGAATCACAGAATTTCAAAGTTGGAAGGGATCTCACTGGCCACCTAGTCCTACCCATATGCAGCAAAGAATCCCCACTCAAACACATACTTCAAGTGGTCATCTCCTCGTAAAAGTCCTCCAAGGAAAGGGAGCCTACTACTTCCTGATGCACCAGTTCCACTTCTTAAATTTTTTTTTTGGTGAGACAATTATTGTTAAATGACTTGCCCAGGTTCACACAGCTAGTAAGTGTCAAGGGTCTGGTGCTCTATCCACTGTGCTACCTAGCTGCCCCTCAGTTCTATTTTTTAATGTCCAATCTTAACCCCATAAAATAGATGAGGAAGTGCCTCCTTTTCAGTAGAAAGGTGTATATGTGTACGTGCAATGGCTATAGACAGGTATATACATGGAGAGATGAGGTCACTGTGTTGGTCAGTTTTGTTTAACTGCTTTTTGTTACAAGGCAAGGCTTCTTTGGTGGGGGAGAGGTAGTTGGTATATCAGGAAGTGACCATAATGTTAAAACAAAAGTCTGTAAAACATATTTTCTGTTTTTCTTTTAAATAACAAAACATTTTTTAAAAAATCAAAATCCAAAGGGTAATGTTGCAAAGTATTTCTTTTTGTGCTTCCTTCCTTCTACCTTCTTCTCCTCCAACACACAGCCCGTCATGGTGAAGCCTAGATTGCTAATATCTCATCCCAGATGTGGATTTGGCTACTCTCAGTCTTATGCTGTGTCAGAAATTCATTTTTGTTTGGCTCAGTTGATTCCAGCGACATGACATAAATGCGAAGTTCTGTAAGCCGAGGCAATCGTTGAAAGGAGTCATAGGAAATGTGGTTTCAAGGCTTTCTTTTCTACAAGGTAACCTACTGGCCTGGTGCCTGGATCTCTCAATTGACTCGAAACTCAATTTCTGGACAGCTGGTTAGAAAAATATCAGTGAGAAAAGTAGGCTGATTATCATGTTTATAAGACCAACTGTCACTGGCTTTCAAAGTTGCCTGAAGTTTGAATGAGGGAAAAAGAGAAAGAACTTGTAGCCTTTTGCATTTCTTTTCTTGTTGTCTTACGCGTATTTGTCTACTTTTCAAGCTTAGTGACTCCGGTGATGACTACGAGAAAACCCAAAACTAAACAGAACAGTGGTGCTTGCTCTGGGCAAGGAAAAATTAAAAAAAAAAGAAATTAGAGACTTCTCCAAAACTAGCATTTTCTCCATTTATACTTAATGAACAGCTTAATTCTCTGCTTCATGTAAGGAACATGCAATAAAGGAGTAAGCAAAAAGGTCTGCAAAGCTGGTTGATGTAATTCTTTGCATTTCTACTTCACACACAATTAATCATTTAAATATTTGTTTGAGTCCTTACTATGTGTTCAGCATTGTTACATGTTTAGAGAGGTGGGAGGGAAGAATAAAAGAAGTTTAAGGCACCCAGTTTTTTCTTAAGGGTCTTATAGACTAGCCAGAAGGATAACATAAATGAAATGAATAGCTATGAATTGTTAAGTTGTGTGATGTTGACCCTAAGTGCTCTTGGATTTCTTTCAGAGAAGGGGGATATTGGTGTCCATTTGAGGAAATTACAGGGGTTGGTATGTATGGAATTCAG